CGGGTTGCAGAAAGAGATCAGGGTTTGGTATTTGCCTCTTTGCTAGCAAGCAAGCAAGCAAGCATCACCTGCTCTGCAGGGCAAGGAGTAATTGACTAGGGTGAGCAGAGTCTGCCAAAGAAGAGGATGGTTTGGGATTTGTTGTGTCTGATGAAGAAGAGAAAAGGGTGGTCAGCTTTAAAAGTCATTGTTGGTACTTTTGATCTCATCACCAAGATGCCTGTGGCAGCTGCTGCCTCGGTACCTTCTTCATTGACCTCCACAAAAGCTTTGTGAATAACTTGAGAGATGAAAAGATCCTTCTTCTCTGACATCCCTGTGAAATCAGCCTGAACTGGGTCGAAAGCATTTCGTATCCCCATGCTGCTCAAAGGGGATTTAAGGTCATAATTCTCTTCCAGCTTCAACTTTGGCAGGTACAAATCCACTTCAGCTTTCATCATATTGTCTGATTTGGTCCATTCGGCCAATTTCTCATAGGTTAGTTCTCTTTCCACCTGCAATGAGTTGGGGAAGAAAATAGTTGGAATGCAAAGGACAGAGATAAGACATGCACAGACCAGTATCTTAATGCCCATCAAGAACATGTAAAACAAAACCCAGCTACCAGAAGTGAGTACAGATGGAACGTGCACCATATTCACAGGGCATGATCCTGCAAAGTGCCAAGTGACTTACACTTCTGTTTATTTTCTTAAAAGTGGTGAAGTGTAGGCCTGAACCCTTAGAGTAGTTTATTATTTTTTCTCCGGTGTGAAGAATATTGCTTTTTTGCAATGTGTGACTCATAGTAGTAGGTGCTTGCTGCGTGTGTATAACTTTTCCCTTAGCAGTGATAAATAAATAGAATGCATGGGAACTGAGGTACAAATAAAAATATGTTTGCCCTGATCGGTTTAGAATCTGAAACTGATCCTGGTGTGGTCTCGAATGGCTGTTGACACCTTCTGGGTCAGGGTAGTCAGCGCTTAGTTTTAGAAAACTCACCACAAACTATTAAGTGCAAATCCAGACTGCAAAGGACATAAAAATTAAATTATGCAGCCCTCAAGA